GTGCCTATCCCCTCTCAGGCTCCTGGGCCCATCCAGAAGGGAATGATTCCTTCCTGTTTACCTGGAGGAATCCTGGAAGTTCTTCACACTTCACACCAGGTGGCAAGCACTTACCCCTCAGAGCTCTGTCTGAATCCTGCCTAACAGTCTTTGGTCACTGACAGCCATCTTCCCTCTTTGCAAGACCCACTGGTCTTTATCCCCATTTGGACATCACTGCTTGCCATTGACATAAAATACCTTGGTTCCAGTCCCAGCTCTGCCTCTGAGACCACTGAGGCCAGTGTTTATTCCTTCTACCTGGACCCTATAAAGGAGGGGGGCTCAGAAACCCTCCTGTTTCCACAGCAACCCTGGCACTGACTGGAGGATTTGAGCATAAGCTGTGTGTCCCTTCTCAATGGGAAGGAAGCAACCCAGAGACAATAAAGCATTAGACACTGTGTGTCCCCCCCCCAAAAAAAAATCAGATTATTGTATTTCTTTCTTCTTGTGTTACAGAAGTTCTCAGTACATTCTGTATAGTAATGCCTTTATCAGATATATGAGTTGTGTATATTTTCTCTCATAGGTTTACTTTTCATTCTCTTAACTGTGCCTAGAAGTTTATGTATGATATAGTCTCATTTGTCTTTTTTTGCTTTCATACCTGTACCTTTGTGATACCCAAGAAGTTATTGTAACATCTAATGGTATAAAGTTTCTTGTGGGTGTTTTATAGTTTGGGGTCTTATGTTTAGGTCTTTAATCCATTTTGAGTTAATTTTTGTATACAGGGCAAGGTAAGGGTCCAACTTCATTTTTTTGCATATGGATATATCGCTTTTCCAGCACTATTCTATTGCATGGTGTATATGTCTGTTTTTATGTCAGTATAAAACTATTTTGATTACTCTAGCTTTATAATGTCTTTTTCAACCAGAAAGTATGATGCCTTTAACTTTGTTGTTCTTTGTCAAGTTATTTTTCCTATTTGGGGTTGCTTGTGATTCCATGTGAACTTCAGGATGAAGTTTTCTATTTCTGTGAAAACTGACATTGAAATTTTTGACAGAGATTCTATTGAATCTGTAGATTTCTTTGAGTAGTATGAATAACTTTATTCTCTAATCCATGAATACAGGATGTCTTTCCAATTATTTGTGTTTTAATTTCTTTCAGCCATGTTTTGTAATCATCAATATACCTCCTTTGTTAGGTTTATTCCAGAGCATCTTATTATTTTTTGATGCTATTATAAATAGAATTTTTTTTTTTTAATTTTTTGTTATAAACATAAAAAGCCAAGTGGAATTTATGTGATTTCTAGATTTGCAACTTCACTAAATTTTATTCTAGTAGTTTTTAAAAATGGAATCTTTATGATTTTCTACATATAATGTATAGTTATGTGTCATTTGCTAGAAGACATGATTTTACTTATCCAATTTAAATATCTTTTCTTTTTTTTTTGCTAATGGCTAAATTGCCAAATACTAACTTTTACCCTTTGAAGGCAAGGAAGAGTAATTGAAAGGTTATGTATTTGCTTTAAAAACAAAACTAAGCATCTTGGGTCACACAGTGGAGAAATGATGGAGTAGAGTAGTGATAAAAGGGAGTAAGAGTGATGCAGAAGACTTTCAGATCCTGCAGGGTGATCTGATTGGTGATTTGGGCTGGAGAGGGCAGGATGTGGAAACAGTAAAATGAATAGAATGGATTATTTAGAGTGGTAGAATTAGCTAATGGATTAGATGTATGGATGATGTATGTAGGAAAGAGACCATTTTTGAGGGCAAATCTCAAGTTTCTGGCTTGAGCACAGTGAATAGATGGAGGTGTGGAGATTACACATACTATAGTGTAGAGATTTTATGTATGTTTTTTAAGATGCTTGTGAAGCAGTAAGGGATGCTGCAAAAGCAGTTATATGCAAACCTGGACCTGGGAATATGAATTCAGTAAATACATTGACCCTACTTTTGAGGGGAATCCAAGAACCTAGGATAAGTTGTTACACAGTACATATTCAATATTTGTGCAACAATTTGTTTATAGCAGAAATTTAACTTAAATTATAATGTATTGTCTTTAATGTAGGAGTTTATATGTTTCTTATTCAGTATTACAAAAATAGCATTTTATGGGAAGAAGACTTTTTTTGTTTTTGGCAGACTGCAACTTGAACTCAGGGCTTTCACCTTGAGTCACTGTGCCAGACCCATTTTTGTGATAGGTTTTTCAAGATAGGACCTCACGAACTATTTGCCTGGGGTGGCTTTGAACCATGATCCTCCCAATCTCTGCCTCTGGAGTAGCTAGGATTACAGGCGTGAGCCAACAGCGCCCAGCTGTTTTTACTTTCTTAAACTGGCTGGATATCATGCATTTACATTGCCATTTTATGTCACCTAGCTCTCTTGATAGGCTTGAATGAAGAGAAATCTGCTTTTCTCTTGAAGCACATAAATGCAGAGAAAGTAGATAGAAAGGCCAAAAGTCAATAAAGTTACAAATTTTGTTTTTGTTGAGTGAAAGTTAGAAAAGCAGAAAATTGAGTGAAATTTAATGCGTCTAGCTATTCAAAGGTAAAGACCGTGAAGCTTTTTCAGAAGTCTGGCGGGCACTAAAACAGGTAGTCTTGTTGTAGTATTGTAATTCTGTAAGGAAAAGCATGTCCTAGATTGGAAAGAGTAGTGAAAGATGTCAATCAGTGGGAAAGAGAATAGAGAGAAGAGCAGGGAGGAGGGGAGAGAGAGTAGTGTTTTCAACAGGAGTGATTTGAGTATTAGAACATAGTCTTCATTTGAACCGTGAACTTGCAGGGTACATAATTATTTTCCTGGGAAGGCCAATGCTATCTCATACTTCTATTACTATAAAGTACTGTTCTAATTGGAAGTAGACACAGTAGTGAAATAGAACATTATTTTCTTTCCTGGTTCCACATTGGAAAACCAGAAGAGCCATTAACTAGTCCTGGTCCTGTCATTAGGTGGAAGTCACTTGCCTTCTCTGAGCCTCAGTTTACTCATCTGCCAAATGGTGGAGCTGGACAAAATGATCTTTAAAGCCCCTTCCTCTCTAATATTCTGCATTTCTTTTTGAAATCCATTTTTTAATGCAGCAAAAACAAGTACCTGTGGCTTTAAATGTTTTAATGTCAATATACATTCTTTTAATACACTGATTTAGCACAGAAATTATTTTTGCAAAATTTGTCTTTCTAACTTACTGCTGCTTTTTGAGGCTTTAGGGACTAAAAGATGAATCTTTTAGGAGTGCTATCACCTTTGTTAGAAACTTGCCACCTTTAAATTATTCTTTGCCATGGTCTTCCAGATTCTGTAGATTGGGAGTTTTGTAAGAACATTTTAAAAAATACCCAGATTTTGTATCTCTAGGGTTTCCTTTTGAGATATTAGGAAACTAAAGCTGTTTTTAAGTGTCAGTTATTTCTTTATAGCCAGAATAACTTTAACTTTTCCCCATCTTCAGATTTTCCTTTGGTAATAAACCTAACTATGAAAAGATATTTTTAATACAGTTATCCTAATAGGGCCACATGATATTAAAAAGAAAAATAATGCCATTTATTTTAGTAAGGTAGATACTCAGAGGCACCAGGCACATGGATTTAGTTTATTTATTTGTGTGTGGTCTTTAGTTTTGGTTTAGTCTAAAGAACAGAGGGTGGTGATAGGTACAGAAATCTTGAAAAGGATGAAATTTAGGATCCTGTGTTATATTGTTTATATACTCATTGTTTTAATGCTGAGGAGCCATGATCATAGTATAAATGAATCTTTTTATAGAGTGGAATATAGTTAGATGTAAGAATGTACTAGAAGGGAGCACAGGATATTTAAAAAAGGAAAAATAATCTCTTATTTTCCATTTTCTAACCCACAAGCTACTTAGATTTATCTTCCAGTGTATTCACAAGTAGAGAAAATAAAAATGTGTTTTATTTAAAGAGCATTTTAAATTTGATTACTAAACGTTTTCCAAGGTTTCCAGCTAGCCATCAGTAAATAAATGTTTAAACATGATTTCCATCCTGGTAAAGAAAACTTAAGGAAAAATTTTAATTTGTATTTGTTAAGATTTAAATTTTCCTTCATAAATACAAAAAAATGAAAATTCTTTTTGTAGATGACCAAAAAAGCACTAGGAAATTCACAGGTATGAACAGAATAGAAATGTATTATGCATAAGTGTGTCTTGAGCTTGATCAATTGATATTTTAAAAATAACAAACCCACAGAAGTTTTAAGGTATTTCTTTGGCAGACTTTTTCCACTTCTTATTTTTCTGTAGATAATTTTAATTCATTCTAAAACATCTATTGCAAAAGGTAGACTTCACATTTGTAAAATATGACAAATACATTGTCAATATCAAACAAAATATTAGTTGAATTTCTTCTTTTAGGACATTAAGAAATCCTTTGTGGTTGCCCAAGTAACTGTGTCATGTTTTAGCATTACAGATTTTAGGGATGCTAACCCCTACCATTCAAGAATAACTGCTATGGTTAATAACACTAACAGAATTTAATGGAGAATTATTTTTATCATCAATAAGTTTGTTCAAACCAGTCTAAATGATGCTCTAAGGAGCAAAAATATTTAATGCAACTTTAAAAAGTTGGCAAGTCAGGTACAGGGTCACCTGTCTATAATTCCTGTACTCAGAAAGCTGAGGCAGGAGAATCACAAGTTCAAGGCCAGCCAGAGTCACATAGTAAGATCCTGTCTCCAAGAAGAAAGGAAAGAAACTTTAAAAAAAAAGAGAAAAATATATATATATATATTAGATGGCAGTATAATCTCCTCTTATCTATAAGGTCAAGTATTTTGTGATAGCCTTATTGGCAGTAATAGAAAATTGCAAAAGAACACAAGAATGAGAGAAGAGTTTTAGTTCCCATGTTAAAAACAATACTTAACAAATATTTGTACTGCAAATGAATTATTACCAAATGTTAATAATCTATTATGTCTTGTTTTTTAAAGTGAATGAATTTTTAGCTTTTGAGGGTCCCATCTTGTTGGATATGAGAATAAAACATCTAATCAAAACAAATCAGTTAAGTCAAGCAACTGCTCTAGCAAAGCTGTGTTCTGACCATCCAGAGATTGGTACAAAAGGTAGTTTTAAACAAACTTACCTTGTCTGTCTTTGCACATCATCACCAAATGAAAAGCTAATCGAAGAGGTAAGTATATTTTTTGTTAGTAATTATTTTTTAAAGTGGAGAAACTAATTTTTTTAATTAGATTAGAATGTCTTCAACTTCCTTTTCTTGTAAATAGTTAAGGAACCATTGTCAAGCATACAGTTTTGGTATGCTTCTGGGAGGGGCAACTTGATTCTGATCAGATTTTGGAATTATATGTAAACTGATTTCATCTAGCTTCTATTTTATGTAATGTGCATCTTTTCATTGTTTTGACTAAATTAAGGGAAGGATGGTAGCTACTTAACAGTTCAGTAAGATGTTTACATTTGACAGCGTTTGGGTCATAAATTCAGTTTTCTGTCAGTGCAGAACATTTGCACAATCTTTTAGCTGGGTAATTTAAGTAATAAGGCAATTATTCCTAGAAGAGTCATATAAATTCTCTATATATGTAGAATGTATAAAAATAAGTATAATTTTATATAACTATATCATTAAGAGTAAATATCTTATTTGCATATTTAATATAAAGTTTATTTGTGAGACATGAGCTTATCATTACTCATGTTTGGCATAAAGCATAATAGTTCAGGTATCTGCATGTTTTATGGTACAAGATTCTGAGAGTAGAATTATGGTCCGAATAAGAATGTTGCATTTTGGAGGACTCAGTTTCAAAGTGGAATTGGAATTAGGGTAGGAGAATTAAAAGTTGATATGTAACAATTTGTGTTTAAAGAATTTGGATAAAGAAAACTCAGTAGTACGTTGAGCAGTGTTCTGTGAGCACTGAGTGTATATAAATGTCTGATCTCTAATATATCTTTTGATTATGGAGCAATAGAGAAAGTTAAGAATATGTTAAGGAAAAGGGTGAGATATAAGATACAAAAGACAATTAGCAGAGCATGCACTATCCCCTGAGTAGACAGAGAAGGATTGTAATTAGAGTCCAGAAGCAGGATAGCCTCAGATAGAAAACTGAAAGTCTACATGAAGTTACAGATGATAAATGTCTGATGAGTGTGTGCTTTTCCTTGAGAATAGGAAGTGAGGAGGCATGTGATAAGTTTGGACCAAGATAAGAAATAAGTCTGTTGGATATAATGAGGATACTGAGAATACTAGGCAATTTCTAGGCTACATGAAGTAAAACCATAGGTTCTAGCCCATGACATTGTTCCATTAGTTTGGACATTGGCTAATCTGTAGACTTTTTTTTTTTTTTTCAGTTCTATTTCTCTTTTATTATCATGGGCAATTTGCCTTTTATTTTTATTGCTATATATGAGAGTAAAATCGAAGATTAAAAGTTTCTTATTAGTTGAAAACCAGACAAGTTAATTCACACATGTATAAAATTTCTTGAAATAGACTTTGAAAGGTGTACAACATCAAGTGTACAATATGTGCTTTATAGGAACTGGGCAGGTGAATAAGGCATAGGCTCTGACCTAAAGAAGTATACCTTTTTCTAGTAGACACTATCTAAACATATAATTTGATAACTTTGAAGTTTGATAACTGTGAACTTGTAGTCTCAAATATCTGCATTTCTAGATCTCTAATCAGATCTTGAAATCCTAAATTCACTTTTGGTATAATTATCCCTCTTGGTATAATTTTTGAGTAGCAACAGCCCATCTCTTTGGGAGATGCTCAGGAAAATTCTTTATGAGGACCCTAGGTTCTATGGAACAATTTCACCCACCTTGTTAAGCAGATACAAGTTTAAAAATTTCTTAAGTGTATATTCTTTAGCAGGGTTCACTAGGTCTCTGTGTATTCTATCAGGGTGGGGAGAGGGGAATAGAGCATGTGGTTCAGAACAGGTTTTAGGGTTTAGCATGTGTAAGTCTAGATATACCTTATTAAAAGGTGTATCTTTTTTCTTAGAGATTGATTGCTCTTGTTTGTGTTCTAATGCATTAAAAACTTGGTCTTCATTGGTCCATATGAGGTGAGTTGAGATTGTCTTGTCACCAAAGCCTGTTATTTCTGCCCCATGGAAAAGTAATGCGATCACCTGAGCTTGAAAGTTATCCAGATACAGTGCCCCTTTCAGCTGCTCACACACATAATATTCTCTACTGCCTCACTACTCCCCCATGCACTTTGTTCCTTTACTTTTTTTTTTCCCCCTTCTTGTAAGCATTAGAATTTTTTTTAGCCTGTTCCTTAAAAGATAAGGGGAAAAGACTTTGTTAGGAGGACTCAGATATGGCCTGGGTTGGTGGTCCATATGGTCCAGTAGGCAAGAGATTAATTATTTCTTAGAACCCTTTCAGTGTGATAGAAACAGCAGCAATCCCTGGTAGATGTTGGACAGATAAGGCTAGAAGAAAGGAACATTCTTCTGGCTTCTCTGGAAGGAAGGAATTTTGACTTGGGTTCTTGGTATAGATAGTAAAAATAGTAAACACTTGGTAGTGTGTAGTTCAGTTGTTTTTGGTTTGTTGTTATTTTGGTGGGACTGGTGTTTAAACTCTCAGGGCTCCACACACAAAGCAGGCACTCTACCCCTTGAGTCACACTTCCAGTCCATTTTGCTCTAGTTATTTTGGAAATGGGAGTCTCATGAACTGCTTGCCTAGACTGGCCTTGAACCTCAATCCTCCCAAGTAGCTAGGATTACAGGCATAAGCCACCAGTGCCTGACAAGTTAGTTTTATCTTCAAACATAGAAGTTTGAAACATAAAATGCCTCTCATTTCTCTCCAGTCATCATTTTCTCATTTAACATTCTCCTGGGTTTAAGTTTGAAGTTTGAAATTTGATATATAAACTTTCTTACATTTTTTGTGCACATACGTATTTTTATATACTTGAAACCACACCCACACTGACTGTTCCTCCCTCTTATTGACATATTTTCATGTCACTCTATGTAAGTTAACCTCATTCCTTTTCATGGCTACATAATTCCACAGTATGGATTTGTAATATCTTTAACTTCCATGCTGAGCCTTTAGATTGGTGTCTTGTACTAAACTTTTTTGCATCTTTGTTGGGAATACACTGTAGGATAGATTTCTCAAAGCGAAATTGCTGGATCAAAGAATCTGCAAGTTTTAGGTAGGATAGGGTCAAAGTAGGATATGATTCAAAAAGGTTTATGGCAATTCATGTTTCAAAAAAAACAATATATGAAATTTCTTTTCTTAACACTAGAGGTTATTAGTCTTTCCAAAAATGTGCTAGCCCAAGAGTTAAAAAATAATAGCTCATTGTTTGAGTTTTGCATGTTCATATTTATGATAGGTTTACCACTTAACTTCTTTTCTATATGCAAAGCAATTTTAATTTGATAAGCAAATCAGTAGTCTTGAAACTATTATTTAAATATGACAACAGCCAATATATTTAAAAGTATACTTGCTATAAAATATTGACGTGTTTTTTGCACTTTTCATATACCTGGCATAAAGAGCCATACCAAAACATAAAAATTATTTTTTTATCTTTCATATATAAATAATTTTTGCTTTACATAGGTATTCAGCATATTATGTCTTTAATAAATAGATCATTCTAATTATTTTGTTTTAAAACTTTCATATGATATTAATAATGGTAATAATAGGTAACTATTTATTAGTGCCAACTCTTCAGAAAGAGCACTGATAATCCACATGAGAGCTTGCTGGGTAGATACTACTGTAGGTTGAGTGTCTCTTATCGAAAATGCTTGGGACTAGAAATGCTTCAGATTTTGGATTTTTTTTTTTAATGGAGGGAGAGGGGGTATTTGCATATACATGAGATATCTTGGGATTGGGACCCAATCTGAACATGAAATTTATGTTTCATATACATCCTATGTGCATAACCTGAAGATTATTTTATGCAGTGTTTTTAAATGGTATTTAAAACCTTGCTCATTTTTCCCCATAAAGGTAATATATTGGTAATTTACCTTGAATTTTTAAAATAATTTTTGTTTATTGGTGGTTATATTTCATTTTTCACAATTTTAATGCAGCCATTCATCAGTTTATTATTCTTACCATTATCTTTACCATATTTTTTCAAGAGGGCCACCTTGTGGCAAATCAGAGAAATGAAAGCTCTTCTGAAGAAGTTGGCACTAATAAACAGCTATTATTACTGTTATTAATATCTTATGAAAAAGTTTTAAAAACATAACAGGCTTACTTATATTTATCTGCATGCATGTATTGGGTAATTGTTTAAAACTAACACAACTTTTATAAAAGATAATGTAATGAAATACAAGAACTTGGGTTTTTGATGTCAGGCACATGTTTTTTGGTTTGTGACTCTACCACTTAACTGTTGTAAATTGGGCAAATTACATAGCTTCTTTGAACCTCACATTCATTGTGTATAAAATCACATGTATGGTACCTACATAGTGATAATGTTATGGTTAAATAATAATGTACATAAAATGTTGAAAAATGTGCTTAACACATTGTAGGTATTTTTAAATATTTATTGCACAATATATATCCATCAGCCCTTTTTTAATTTGTTTAAATGGGGTCACTTATAAAGATTTGTTAGAAAGTGTCAGAGGACTAGTGAGAAAAAGCATTGCACCTGCACCAGAGTATACCAAGACTTAGGGTTTAGGTTTTTTGTTTGTTTTTAATGCAGGGTCTCTCTGTGTGGTCTAGGCTGTTCCCAAACTTGCAGTCCTCTTGCCTCAGCCTCCCTAGTACTGGGATTACAGATGTGCACCACTATGCCAAGTTTAGGGTTTCAGTCTTTTTTTTTCTTTCTTTCTTTCTTTCTTTCTCTTTTTTTTTGGGGGGGGCAGTACTGGGGCTTGAACTCAGGGCCTACACCTTTAGCCACTCCACCAGCCCTTTTTTGTGGAGGGCTTTTTTGAGATAGGGTATCTCGAACTATTTGCCCAGGCTGGCTTCACACCATGATCCTCCTGATCTCTGCTTCCTGAGTAGCTAGGATTAACTCTGCCAGTAACTTCATACTTTCTTTAAGAAATAATTGATACTAATCATGTATATAGTTTTTTTCTTTTCTTGTCTTAATGATTTTTAGCTTAATTTCATATATAAAATGGAAATTCTGAATCTATTGTTGTACAGTCTTTATCCTTACTACAGATCAATCTTAAGATTATCCTCCTCACCCATTTCAACACTTGTTTAATCCAAAACACATTGCATTTTACAGTATGTTTTTATTCACCCTGTATTTGACAAAAGAGAGAGATGATCAGCTAGGAGGGACACAGTCAGATCTGTGGTAACAATCTGTTGACTCTTTGTACCATGTCGTATGTCATTGTACCATGTTGGAATTAATCTTTCTGTTCTGTAGAACACAGGTAACTTGTGATTGTATGATGTTTGTCACATCTCTTATAGCAAGTGGTTTAAGTCTCTTAAGCTTAATTGTTTTATATAGTATATCATTGACTTTAAAAAAATAATAGATGTGAGTGTGTCAAATGAAGCAAGTTGCCTTCTGTCTAGGTTATATGAACGCATGCGTGACTCTTTTGGCAAGCTTTGAAATGGAGTAAATTTATTTGAAAAACAAAATAGTGGAGATTTGTAGAAAACTGAGGTGAGCTTATTTTAAAAGTGGTGTAGCTATATAAAATGTTTTATATTTTTTTCCTTCAGATGAATAGACAGTTTATTAGTACATATTCAGTTTAAACCTGTGTCTTTGTGCTGATTCTAATGCTTATTTAAATCATTGGATAAATTGGGGAAAAGTATGGATCTGATTTAATGGATAAAAAGATGCTTGTAATTAATATTAGTTATTTACTGAACTTTTACAAATTCTTGAAAGTAGTTGATTTCCCTATGTTTCTTTATGCCATAATTACTGTATCAATTTTTACTAGTTATGAAGAAAGACTGCTTTTCAAAAGTATAGTTTTGTCTCAGTATTGACCAATTGTAACTTAATAGTGTAAGAACTAACTATTCTTTTACTGGTGAAAATGATTTCTGGATATTGTAATGAAAAATTTTAAGTGTACTGGTACATAAATATCCTAATATAAAGCCATTTATGGCATACTTCTATTTCCTTTTTCTGTAGATTTCAGAAGTTGATTGCAAAGATGCACTAGAAATGATCTGTAACTTAGAATCTGAAGGTGATGAAAAAAGTGCTCTTGTTTTATGTACTGCATTTTTATCTCGTCAGCTTCAGCAAGGAGATATGTACTGTGCTTGGTGAGTTGGTTTTATTTTTCAAAGGATAATTTGTTAAATAAGAATTCAAAATAGGTTTTGAGAATTTAGTTCTTTTTATTTTTTGGTGGAACTGGGGTTTGAATCCAGGGTCTTGCTCTTGCTAGGCAGGTACTCTACCACTTAAGCTATGCCCCAACCCAGATTTTAAGAATTTGGAGAGCTTAAGAATATTTTATTAAATCTTAAGTTTTTTCAGGGTTTCATTTCTTTACAAGAGAGAAAGCTTATTTTCAGATATTACATGCTTAGTTCATATTTTAGCTTTAAAAACTTTGTATTAGGGACTACACAGTACCTTAGCAAGCATACCATACATTAATGCTAATGCATTAATACAAAATGACCATGTGGACAGCAAATATTTGAATGTTGAAATATGAAAACAAGGTTTATTTTGTCTAATGGTACCATAGAACTTTTTCTGCTGTGTAAATAACCTATCATTCTACGTGAGTAGTTTTTCCTCTGCATGTTTATATACTTTTAGCTGCGTAACTATCACTTATATAGAGAGTTATATAGAGTGCTGCTATCACTTATATAGAGAGTATAGTTTATTTTCTACCCCTGAGAAAGCATTCCACACCACTGACTTCTTTAACGTTCTCCTTTGGTTGCACACTTCCTTGTATGCTACATTTCCATGTGAACAAAATGTATATATAATCCTTTGAGAGATCACAACTAATGTTGACTTCCATTAACTTAAAAAACTTAAGACTAACTGTCTTAGATTAGGGTTAGCCAACACCAACAATTTATTTGGTCAGCCTGTGGTATATTAGTCTTTAGTGTTACATTGTTATTATGACAACACACAAAAAAGATGGTTTGTAACATTCTGACATTTGAGAATATTTGCCACATGACATACAAATGAATACAGAACAGACAAGGTAAATAAAAACTGGTTGTGTAATCAAAAAAATTCAATTTGATAATTATCAAGCGATTGGTCTTTGTTATGAAATAAAAATTGTCTATGCAGTACTGAGAGGATTGATATAAAAGGTAGGTTGAAAAATTGTGAAGGAATAATAAATAAGATGTATGTATCAATGACAAATAGATTTGGTCAGTGTAACATAGAAGAGCAACATAGAAGTTTATATTTAGGAAGCACTTTAAAGCCAGGTGCTGGTGCTTCATACCTATAATCCTAGCTACTCAGGAGGTGGAGATTGAGAAGACTGAAATTCAAGACCAGCCCAGGCAAAAAAGTTCAGAGATCCCATCTCAGCTAATAGGTGGGCACAGTAGCGTGGGCTAGTCAGAGGCTGAGGTTGGGAGAGTCATTGTTCCAGGCCAACTGAGGGGGAAGTGTTAGTGAGTCCCCATATCAACAGAAAAGGCTGGCCATGGTGGCAGATATTTGTCACCTCAGCTATGTGGAAAACATAAATAGGAGAATCACAGTTCGGGCCAGCCCCAGCAAAAGCAAGACTTTATCTCAAAAGTAACCAGTGCAAAAATGTAGCTCAAGTGGTAGAGCACCCACCTTGCAAACAAAGCCCTGAGTTCAAACCCCAGTACTGTTGGAGAGAGAGAGAAACACTTGAAGATAAGCAGTTGAGAACAGTGAGGGCAGATATGGAAAGAAGTGGCCATACAAAGCTGAGATAGAATATCAGCCAAAAAGCCAATGAATAGTCCTGCTAGGAAGTTACAAGGTTTCCTTATGGATGTTGCATGAGGTGAAAGAAATGCCAAAGATGAAGGCCATAGGATCAATGATAATGATGCATTAAATTAGAAAGATGGTGAATTGAAAAGAATGGCAGTCACTTTTTTCACATACATTGCTTAACCACAGGATCCATTCTGAGAAATTCAAGAGAGGTGATTTTATCATTGTGTAATATCATAGAATGTACTTACATAAACTATGAAAGCATGACATTACTAGGCTATATAGTTTTACAGGACCATTGTCCTATATGTGTCCTGTTGTTGGCTGAAACGTAGGATGCAGAGCTGTGCTAGGTTTCAGGTTTCAGAAAAGATCAAAGTGGAAAAGATTTATAAAAGAACTAGAAAGGTGAAAGTAGATAAGACTTTAGAAACAGATTTCAAAGTCCTCGGTATATAGGTTAAAGTCCAATAAATGAGCAAATTTTTCACGTGAGTAGTAAAACCAACAGCGTTCCTAGGAACAGAAAGCAAGGAAACTAGTCACAAAGGCCTGTATTGAAGAGAACTCTTGGTGAAAAATGTTGAAGCAAGGAAGAAGATTTTTGTGGAAATTAACTGTGAACAACAGAAGAGAAAATAAGAGGGAAGTAAACTTTTCACTTTAGTCAGATTTGCTTTTGTGAAAAAATACATTACCTCATTTAAATAAATTTCAAAGTTATTTTTCAAATTGTCTTTTTTTATTTAATTGCTGTGCACAGATTACTTTCTTCTGAATTTGTTTTATTATTGGTTCTTTTATTCATTAAGTATAGTTAACCTTAATTGGTTGGTCTTAATTTAGAAGATAAATGCTTTCTTGGTTTTGTTTTGTTTCTTTGTGATAGTGGGATCGAAGTCAGGGTCTCACACATTCTGTGTAAAGTGTTCTAACATTGAGCTTCACCTCTAATCCTAGAAGAATGCTTCTTAAAGACTCACTATGACATTGTTAGATTTTACACACACACGCACCATTTTATATCACAAAGTTAAAAGTTCAGATGTGGCTCAAAGTTGCCATTTATATGACTTGTTTAAGTATTAGATGCTTTCCTAATAAAAACTAGTGCTACTCTGTCTGGGATTGATAAATACTTGATCTTTAGAAAATCGGTATCTATTATCATGCATTTAAACTTAATTCCAGGTGTAGCATTGAAATCTTAAACAATTTTCATTTTATAAGTAATGACTGGATTGACACAGTCCACAATTATTATATTATTGCTCCAACTTACCTTTAAATTTTTTTTTTTTTAAAGGGAACTTACCCTCTTTTGGAGTAAACTACAACAAAGGGTAGAACCATCTATCCAAGTATACCTGGAGAGGTGTCGTCAGCTTTCTTTGTTAACGAAGACTGTATATCACATTTTCTTCCTGATTAAAGTTATTAACTCAGAGGTAAGGATAATCAAGGTATCTTTTCTTAGTTTAAAATTTTATAAGAGTTTAATATTTACTGTTTGGTGCTTTTCAGTGATTTTTTTTTTCTTTAGTGCTTTGGACGATGATTTTGTTATTAATCCATAGTTGATCCAGAGAAACTTAAAAATGCAGTTGATAACAAAGGGCTTGCTCTTACCTTGAAAGAAAGTAGTACTTGTACTCTTCATTCTTCAATTTTGCTTTTAGGTATTATACTTACTTTGGTAATCAGGCTTTATGGAAATTTAGAAAATGTAAAGAGAAATATTGAAGTTGACTGCTGTTTCTAGCAATAGAGCAGATGATATTGTCTAAAAATCCTTCTACTACAAAATAGCCCCAAGTACTTATGAAATAAAACAAACATGATTAGAGCAGCTGAGATTACAAGATTAGGGAAATCCCTAGGGTTCAAAATGAAGAGGCACCTGAAAACTGGAACAGAAAGCTTAAGATGACTGTTTCTGGGCCTCGCCTAGCCTGGAGACGATTAGGGTATATTTGTACTTGCAGCAGCTATGTAGTTCAGGCTTTACTATCCACATATGGATAGGAGATAGCTGTATGCGATCAGAGATAACATCTTGGGCCCTCTCAAGTTGGGGGCTTAGATATGAGCTTCTCCCCTCTCCCCACCCCCTTGCTCTGCATGCACACACACAAAGCTGGAACCTGTGACATACCATAATTTCATTGAAAATATAGACTAGGAAAATGATACACTCTTAACACCTCATGTGTCCAAACAGAGTCTGGGTTTAGGAGAGAAATCTTTCCTCTAAGAAATAATAATCGTAGTTCTGCCTATACAGATTTAGAGGTCAAATATACCCTGCCTGTATAGTTCAAAAATCCCTACACCAACTAAGTGATGTTTAAAAAAGGTGAGACTAGAGTCCTGGGCCAGTAATACTTAGGATATACCTGTAAAAGCAAACGTGAACTGCTTTGGAAGGACATAGTGTCAATATAGCATCAAACCCTGCTTAAGATGAGTTCTTCATCGCCAGGTATTATGGTACATGTCTATAATCTCAGCTACTTGGAAGAAGAAGATAGCAGGATCATGGTTTAAGGACACCTGGGGCAAAGTGAGCAAGACCCTATCTTAAAAAGCATACTGGACAAAGGGGTATCATACTTGTAATCCCAGCTAGTCAGGAGGTGGAAGTAGAAGGATCGTGGTCTAAGAACCAGTCTGGACAAAAAGCACAGGACCCTATCGGAAAACAAACTAAAGCTAAAAGGACTGGAGGTGTGGCTGAAGCATTATAGTGTTTGCCTTGCTCAATCCCTGGTATTGCTCCCTGCCCCCCCTTCCCCTACCCCTTACCCAGAAAAAAAAACATGAGTTCATCATCTGGATTTATAAAATATGCAACAGTTTTCCATGAGGAGTTTTAGCAAATAAAAGGAATAAATTAAAAAAGAGATCACCATCAAGACATATGACTGAATTTCAGCAAAGAATAGTTAGATTATTTGCCTATTATACTGTAAGCAATACAGATAAATCTACAAAACATATGAAGACACAAAAATTGGGAACTATAGCATGAGAAAGAAAAGACACTCTCAAAATGAACAAGCAGGTTTTAAAGAATCAAAAGAACTTTTAGAAACATAAAAATAGTAATTGAAATTAAAACAACAGATAGATTGTATAGATTAGACACAAGTGAAGAGGGGATTGAACAGAGGTTGCATATATGCTTCCACTTATTTATTAAGCAAATCAGAATCCCAAGTTAAGTGTACACAGAAGGCGTCTTCCAAAGGTGCCATCAGTGCATAAGATTTAAAAATTCATCATAAGAAGTATTTTTAAATGAATATGTATATATTTTTTGAAAGGAGAAACCAAATGACACTTCCCTGTCCCCTTTAAAAGTACCTTTTAAAACTCACAGTTGGTCAGTAAGTCTTAGGTACAGCTTTATTTCTTTCATCCTAAAATAATTTCTTTTTCAGGAGTAAAGAACAGGAATGAATCCTTCTGCTTTCCAGTTTTTCCTGCGTCGACCTTTAAATATATCTTGATTTTTCATTTTATATGTTGTGCTACAACACATAAAATAATCTGAAACAAGACAATAAGTTTCTTAGAATATTACTGTGTGATTTTAAAATATTGATTGTATTACTGTGTAATGTCTAACTTAATGAGCGGCATGGCCAAGTAGAAGGAACTTGGAACTAGAAGCCAGGCAAGCTGGGTATTAATCTTGACTCACTGTGACCACCTGACTACCTGAACCATTTCAGGGGTTCATGTCTTAATCAGATGAATCAAGGGGATTAAAGTGACTATCCACCATCATCCTTACTCCCTAACTTAAAGGGACTGTATTGGGGAGTGGAGAAGACTTGGGCAGGTCTGCACTGCCCATTGTGATAGCCTCACTTTAGGTGCTTCGGGGCTCCATGGGTCGAGTGGGTACCTTATATGCCTACCACACCTGCAGAGCATTCTCACTAATCATCAACAGTTTTGTTGAGTAGCAAGCACTGGAAATAGAGGACATTAAAAAAAAAAAAACAGTTTATAATGTGAATACTTTGGGGAAGTTGGCCAGGGCAGCAGACTTTTCACAAAGCAATAACATATGACTTGATAATTATTCTTGGCCCTCAAATTTTGTTTCATTTGCACTTATTTTTCCCTTTGTTTTTAATTTTCTGGAATCTAACCAAGCAGGGAAGGTTTTATCTTAATACTGAAGTAACAGATTACTATTGTTTTAGGACTAAAGGGATCGTAAAGTTAAAGTGCAGTGAGTGACTAGGTGCTGAAGTAACTCTATTTTATAGATAAGGAAATTTTATCTGCAGGTTTGTGATTTAACTCATAACCTCTTTTTTTCAAATTCTAGGAGTTGTCAAAGACTGATGCATAGTAATTAAAAATAATATTTTTCTTCTTAAATCTTAATTGAGATCTGCAAAGGAATTAGAACAGATAGCTTGGTGCATTTTTGTATTTATTTATGGAGAACAGTGGATCACAATTTCAAGTCCAGCTTCAACATAGATCCCACCTCAGAAAAAGCCATTCGTGATTAATGAATTGAGATAAACCCTTGAGTACAGTAACAGACAGGATTAGATGTGTCATTGGGATTCCCCTCTGAAATAATTTTAGTTGTGAAGAGTTTTCAAATCTACTTTTGTCATTTCTAGCAAAACGGTTTGACATTCATATGATAGAAAATAACTGTCTTACCCAAAGCAAATTTCCTTCATCTCAAAATTCTCTTAAGTTCATTTCTTTCTCCATCATTTTCTAAATAATCACAGTCTTTTCCAGAATTCTCACCCCCTGCAAACATTACCAGTCCTTCTGATATTATTATGTATGCTTTCAAATCATCTTGATCGTTGGCTTGGCCTTTGACTTCTCCAAGACTTCTTTGTGCCCTCCTCTCTTTTATGCAGCTTCATTGGCCACTCATGTCTTTTTCTTTTTTGTGTATCATAACAGAGAAGTGGCCTAATTGTCCACTATTATTAATAGCTCCTAAGGCATGTAACAGATGCACATGTTTTACTGTAAAAGTTGTTTAGTTCACATCTATCACAAAATAGAATAAAATAACCACACAGGTTTACATGAAAGCTAGCGACAGCCATATGGTCCCATCTCTTTCCTAGTTTTCTTGTCTTCCCTGTCACTTTTAAAATAGGTTTCTTCATAACTATCCCTGTTACCCATTTTCTTCCTCATCTTTGTGCCCTTACTTCTTCCTAAAGTCAAGGCCAGTTCAGTATCCTTGCCTTCTCTCTCTCCAATTTTTCCCTGGGGGAAAGAGGGGTAGAACTGAGATTTGAACTCAGGGCCTCACACTTACTAGACAGCACATTGCCACTTAACACATGACCAGCCCTTTTTGTGCTTTAGTTATTTTTTAGGTAGGGTTTTGCTTTTGTCCAGGTCGTCTCAGGCTGTGATCCTCCTACTTCTGACTCCTGCATAGTTCAGATTAATGGCATGTACCATCATGGGCTTGTTCTTTGAGATAGGGTCTTGCTAATTTTTTGCCCCAGCTGGCCTCAAATTGCAATCCTATCTCTACCGCAAAGTAACTGGGATTACACGTATGTACCACTGAGCCTGACCCCCTCACTCTCCTTTTGCTCCACTAATGTAAGCTTCTGTTTTAGCATAAAATTTTATTTCCTTCTTGGCCTTTGAATACAGATCTTATCAGTTTTCTTTACTTATTTTCCTTCCTTGCCTTTTGATTCTACATCACACATATTCCATTCCATCAACCTGGTCATATTCTGTGGCTGGCTCATTTCTCATGTTAGTGTTCCCTTTTCACCACTAATATCCATTTTTAAACCTCTCTTCACTCCATGTATCTTTCCAGTGATTCTTACCTTCATAAGTTCTATCTGGGCAGGCTCTCTTACCACTTGAACCACTCTGCCAATCCCATAAGTGCTATCTAATAATAATATAGTTCAGGATACTAATTCAAAAGAAAAAGGCCATTCTTAATTCTTTAGCAGGTCCAGCCAAGAGGTAGGTATTATGACATTCAGATTTATAACAGCACTAGAATCCCCACTATTGAAGCTCAAATAACTTACTTTGCGAGAAGTAATGTTCTTTAATTATTAATAAGTTAGGGAATCCGAAGACATTCTTGGAATTTGTTGTTTTGTTTTTTATTGAATTAAGAGAGTTGCATTCCCAAAGGATTGCAAGTACAAACTTAGGAAATAAGATTTATGATGAAGATGACATTTATTGATCTTTACTATGTGCCAGACCATACTAAGTCTTATATGAAGCTGTATGAGGAACTTTAGATATTTACTCTCCTTTAAAGCTTACAGCAGCAATGTTCTAAAGTTTCAGTGCTGTTTTGACCTCACTGTGATACCCAGGTCTTTTCTTTAGCTTCCCAGTACATTTTTTCCCCTGTCATTCTTTGCAATTTATTTTACACATACATACCCACACACCAGAGTAGTTTCAGTGCAGTAGAAGGGTAAGTTTTCACATACTACTATAGTAAGATTTGAGTAAAGCCTCTCCCCCACCCCCACCCCCACCTCAAAGCACATCTTGATCTAAAAAAAAAAAAAACTCAAAAACAAATCTGTGTGGATTAGTATAGATTAAGTTGACATTTCCTGTTTGTTTTTTCACAGACTGAAGGGGCTGGACTTGCTACCTGTATAGAACTATGTGTGAAAGCTCTTCGCTTAGAATCTACAGAAAATACTGAAGTGAAAATATCAATTTGCAAGACCATTTCTTGTTTGTTGCCTGATGATCTGGAAGTTAAACGTGCTTGTCAACTGAGTGAATTTCTTATTGAGCCTACAGTAGATGCATATTATGCGGTGGAAATGTTATATAACCAACCAGACCAGAAATATGATGAAGAGAATCTTCCTATACCAAATTCTCTGCGCTGTGAGCTCTTACTTGTTTTGAAAACACAGTGGCCCTTTGACCCAGAGTTCTGGGATTGGAAAACCCTAAAACGACAGTGTCTTGCACTAATGGGAGAAGAAGCATCCATTGTGTCTTCAATTGATGAATTAAATGACAGTGAAGTATATGAGAAAGTAGTAGACTACCAGGAAGAAAGTAAAGAAACTCCTGTGAATGGACTTTCTGGTGCTAACTCTGGCCTTCTTAAAGACATTGATGATGAAAAGCAGAAGAAGAAGGAGATAAAACAATTAAGAGAGAGAGGATTTATATCCGCTAGGTTTAGGAATTGGCAAGCCTACATGCAGTATTGTGTGCTATGTGACAAAGAATTCCTTGGACACAGAATAGTACGACATGCTCAGAAACATTACAAAGATGGAATTTATAGTTGCCCCATATGTGCAAAGAATTTTAATTCTAAAGAAACTTTTGTCCCTCATGTCACACTGCATGTTAAACAATCTAGTAAAGAGAGATTAGCGGCTATGAAACCATTAAGAAGATTGGGAAGGCCTCCTAAGATCACAACTGCCCATGAGAACCAGAAGACTAATATTGTGGCTAAGCAAGAACAGCGGCCTATAAAAAAGAACAGTCTCTATTCAACAGATTTCATAGTGTTTAATGACAATGATGGTTCAGATGATGAGAATGATGACAAAGATAAATCTTACGAACCAGAAGTGATCCCAGTCCAGAAGCCAGTACCTGTTAATGAATTTAATTGCCCTGTAAGTTTTTGTAAAAAGGGATTTAAGTACTTTAAAAATTTAATTGCTCATGTAAAGGGGCATAAGGATAATGAAGATGCCAAGCGCTTTTTGGAAATGCAAAGCAAAAAAGTAATTTGCCAGTACTGTAGGAGGCATTTTGTAAGTGTCACTCATCTCAATGATCACTTACAAATGCACTGTGGCAGTAAACCATATATCTGTATTCAGATGAAATGTAAGGCCGGTTTCAATAGTTACGCAGAGCTTTTGACCCACCGAAAAGAGCATCAAGTCTTCAGAGCAAAGTGCATGTTTCCGAAATGTGGCAGAATTTTTTCAGAAGCTTACTTGCTATATGATCATGAAGCACAACATTATAATACCTACACTTGTAAGTTCACAGGTTGTGGAAAAGTTTATCGTTCTCAGAGTGAGCTAGAAAAGCACCTAGATGATCACAATACTCCTCCTGAAAAAGTACTATCTTCTGAAGATCAACTTAATTCATCTGGAGATTCTGTTCAACTTTGCAAAGTGAATCAGAGCACAGAAGGGAATACTGAGAAAGAAAAATTGATGCTTCCTTCAGAAAATAACATTGAAAACAGCTTACCAGAAGATAAAAGTGATAATTGGGATAAAAGCAAAGAAAACTCAGCTGTGGCCAAACAAGACCAAATCTCTGCCTCTGAATTCAGGCAAGCTAATGGACCATTGTCAAATGGCTTGGAAAGCCCTCCTGCTGCTCCTCTTCTTCAGGCCAGTGAAGTAGCTGTGTCCATCAAGGTGTCTCTGAATCAGGGGATCGAAGATAACTTTGGAAAGCAAGAAAACTCAAGTGTGGAAGGCACTGGTGAGCCACTGGTCACAAATTTACATACACCAGCTGAAGATACTTGTAATAATTTGTGTCATCCAGGTTTCCAAGAGAGAAAAGAACAGGATTGCTTTGATGAAGCCCAGGTTGCTCAGAACTCTTTAGTAAATTCAGACACCCTCAAAATAGGTGACCTTAACCCACAAAACTTAGAACAGCAAGTAAACAATCTGATGGCCTTTTCTGTGCAAAATCAGGCAGGATTTCAAAACAAATTGCCAACTTCCAAGTTTGAATGTGGAGGTAATGTTAAAACATCATCCAATCTTTATAATTTACCTCTTAAGACATTAGAAAGTATCACATTTGTTCCATCACAGCCCAGCCTAGGTAGTTCATTAGGAACTCCATCAGTGCCTCCAAAAGCTCCAGTTCAGAAATTCAGCTGCCAGGTTGAGGGATGTACTCGAACATATAACTCTTCACAGAGTATTGGGAAACATATGAAAACTGCACACCCTGACCAGTACGCTGCATTTAAAATGCAGCGCAAAAATAAAAAAGGTCAGAAATCTAACAACTTAAATACACCAAATAATGGAAAGTTTGTTTATTTTTTGCCATCACAGGTGAGCAGCTCTAATAATGCATTTTTTACACCACAGACCAAAGCCAATGGGAATCCTACTTGTTCAGCCCAGTTGCAGCATGTCTCACCTTCCATTTTTCCAGCTCATTTAGCAAGTATGTCAACTCCATTGTTGCCCTCAATGGAAAGTGTCATAAATCCAAATATATCTGCTCAGGATAAAAATGAACAAGGTGGTGTGTTATGTTCTCAAATGGAAAATTTAACTAATACTACCTTGCCAGCACAAATGGAAGATCTAACCAAAACAGTTTTGCCATTGAATATCGACAGTGGCTCAGATCCTTTCCTTCCTTTACCTGCAGAAAATAGTTCAATGTCTCTCTTCCCTTCACCAGCAGATAGTGGGACTAATTCTGTTTTTTCCCAAATGGAAAATAATACAAGTCATTATTCCTCACAGATTGAAGGAAACGTGAATTCCTCCTTTCTAAAGGGAGGCAGTGGTGAAAATCCAGTTTTTCCTTCACAAGTGAATGTTGCAAATGAATTCAGTAGCACCAATACCCAACAATCTGCACCTGAAAAAGTAAAACAAGACCGTGGACGGGGCCCAAATGGGAAAGAAAGAAAACCCAAGCACAACAAAAGGGCTAAGTGGCCTGCAATTATCAGAGATGGGAAATTTATATGTAGCAGGTGTTACAGGGCTTTTACTAATCCCAGGTCACTGGGTGGACACTTATCTAAGAGATCTTACTGTAAACCACTGGATGGAGCCGAAATTGCTCAAGAACTTCTACAGAATAATGGACAGCCTTCTCTTCTTGCCAGCATGATTCTTTCCACAAGTGCAGTAAATTTGCAGCAGCCACAACAATCTGCCTTCAATCCAGAAGCATGTTTTAAAGATCCATCATTCCTGCAGCTTCTTGCTGCTGAAAATCGCTCAGCATTTTTACCAAGTACATTTCCTCGATCTGGTGTGAGTAACTTTAATACCAATGTCAGTCAAGAAGGAAGTGAAATTATTAAGCAGGCTCTTGAAACTGCTGGCATTCCCAGTACATTCGAGGGTGCTGAGATGCTTTCTCAGGTTGTTGGAACAGGTTGTGTTTCAGATGCGGCACAAGTAAATGCAACAGTGATGCCAAATCCAGCTGTGCCACCCTTGTTGCAGACTGTATGCCACCAAAACACCCTGCTGACAAACCAGAACAGGACACCAAACTCCAAAGCTTCCACTATCGAGGAATGTAGCAATTTGTCTGTTTTTCCAGCAAACAACTTACTACTGAAGACTGTTGAAAATGGTTTGTCCTCTAGTTCATTCACTAATTCTACTGGGCATTCACAAAATTTTACTAGTAACAGTTCACGTGTTTCAGTTATAAGTGGTCCTCAAAACACAAGATCTAGTCATCTAAATAAAAAAGGCAATAGTGCATCTAAAAGAAGAAAGAAAACTACTCCTCCACTAATTGCACCTAATGCTTCCCAAAACTTGATACCAAGTGATTTAACAACAGTGGGACTTATAGCAAAGAATGTTGACATCCCTACTACTAATCTTCCTTCAAACATAATTCCAAATTGTGAACCTCAGGGTTTGATGGAAAATCTAACACAGAAATTAAATAATGTTGACAATCAGTTGTTCATGACTGATGTAAAAGAGAACTTCAAAACCAGTCTTGAGTCCCATGAAGTGTTGGCCCCTTTAGCATTAAAAACTGAAAATGGTGATTCCCAAATGATGACTTTGAATTCATGCACATCTGTGAATTCTGATTTGCAGATTTCTGAAGATAATGTTATACAGAACTTTGAAAAGACTCTTGAAATTATTAAAACTGCTATGAATTCTCAAATACTTGAGGTAAAAAATGGATCTCAGGGTGCTGATGAAACATCACAGAATCCTCAAATAAATTATAACATTCAGCTTCCTACAGTAAGCCCTGTGCAAAATAACAAATTGCCTGATTCATCTCAGTTTTCCTCTTTCATAAGTGTCATACCAACAAAATGTAACATTCCTCAATCTGAAGTATTACATAAGGAGGATCAAATACAGGAAATTTTAGAAGGCTTACAGAAATTAAAATTAGAAAATGACCTATCCACTCCAGCATCCCAGTGTATATTAATAAATGCATCAGTGACACTGACTCCTCCTGTTAAACCAATTTCAAGTGACACAGTTGTTCAGCCAGTTTCTGAAATGATACACATTCAGTTTGCTGACAGAGTCAATAAGCCTTTTGTGTGTCAAAACCAAGGATGTAACTACAGTGCTATGACAAAGGATGCATTATTTAAGCACTATGGCAAAATCCATCAATACACTCCAGAGATGATCCTTGAAATCAAGAAGAATCAGTTGAAATTTGCTCCATTTAAATGTGTAGTACCTACGTGTACAAAAACATTTACAAGAAATTCTAATCTCCGGGCACACTGTCAGTTGGTACATCATTTTACAACAGAAGAAATGGTAAAGCTGAAAATTAAAAGGCCTTATGGAAGAAAATCTCAGAGTGAAAATTTGTCAGCCCCACGAATTACACAAGTGAAAAAACAGCTAACTGTGGCAGAGGAAAATAAAACGGAATTCCAGTCTGCTTTAGAATTGGGAGCAGAGACACAAAATGCCCTCAGTAATGTTGCAGTGATCTCAGAAAAACAACTTGCAGAAAAAAAAAGTCCTGAGAAAACAGAAAGTCCTCCACAATTGATTACAGTTATTTCTGAACAATGTAATACAAATCCTCTCACAAACATACAAACCAAAGGACGGAAAATTAGGAGACATAGAAAAGAAAAGGAAGAGAAAAAACGAAAGAAGCCAGCTTCCCAGGCCCTTGAATTTCCAACAAGATACAGTCCGTACAGACCATATCGTTGTGTTCACCAGGGATGCTTTGCTGCCTTTACAATACAGCAAAACTTGATTCTCCATTACCAGGCCGTACACAAATCAGATCTTCCTGCATTTTCTGCAGAGGTTGAAGAGGAAAGCGAAGCTGGTAAGGAAAGTGAAGAAACTGAAACTAAACAAGCTATGAAAGAATTTCGGTGTCAGGTGAGTGACTGTTCTCGCATTTTCCAAGCGATTACTGGCCTGATACAACATTACATGAAACTGCATGAAATGACTCCTGAGGAAATTGAAAGTATGACTGCATCTGTGGATGTTGGCAAATTTCCATGTGACCAGTTAGAGTGTAAATCTTCATTTACAACATACCTGAATTATGTTGTTCATCTTGAGGCAGACCATGGCATTGGAACAAGGACAAATAGAACCGAAGAGGATGGCATATACAAGTGTGACTGTGAAGGCTGTGACCGGATATATGCCACGCGGTCTAATCTCCTCCGACACATTTTTAATAAGCATAATGACAAACATAAAGCTCATTTGATTCGGCCAAGAAAATTAACAACTGGCCAGGAAAATATGTCAAGTAAGGCAAACCAAGAAAAATCGAAGTCTAAACATCGGGGAATAAAACACAACAGATCTGGAAAAGAAGGAATCAAAATGCCTAAGACCAAACGAAAGAAAAAAAGCAATTTTGAAAACAAGAATGCAAAGATTGTGCAGATTGAAGAAAACAAGCCTTATTCCCTGAAACGTGGAAAGCATGTATATTCCATAAAGGCTAGAAATGATGCCTTATCTGAATGTACAAGCAGATTTGTAACCCAATATCCATGTATGATAAAAGGATGTACTTCAGTTGTTACAAGTGAAAGCAATATAATTAGACATTATAAGTGCCATAAATTATCTAAGGCATTTACGTCACAACACCGTAATCTTCTTATTGTCTTTAAGCGGTGTGGCAACTCACAAGTGAAGGAAGCTTCTGAGCAAAATGATAAGAATGACATAAAAGGTTCTGACACGCGTGTGTTGTCAGAGAACAATGATGACTCAAAAACAACTGTTCCACAGAAGGAATTTGAAAAAAATGAAAAAGATGAAATGGATGAGCTAACAGAATTATTTATTACAAAGTTAATAAATGAAGATAGCACAAGTGTGGAGACCCAAGCCAATACCTCTTCAAATGTAAATAATGATTTTCAAGAAAATAACCCCTCCCAGTCAGAAAAGCAAAAGGCAGGTAATTTGAAGAGAGTTAATAAAGAAAAAAATATCTCACAAAATAAAAAACGGAAAGTTGAAAAAGACGAACCAGAGTCAGCTGTTGAGTTAAGTGGCACACAGAAAGAGGAAGAAACTGCTGTTGCAATTCAAACCACTGAGGAGCATCCTGCATCTTTTGACTGGAGCTCGTTCAAACCAATGGGATTTGAAGTATCATTTCTGAAGTTTCTTGAGGAGTCTGCAGTGAAGCAGAAGAAAAGTATTGACAAAGACCATCCAAATAGTGGAACTAAAAGAGGATCCCATTCAAACTCAAGAAAAAGCACTGATAAGACTGCTGTGGCTAGTGGAAATCATGTATGTTCTTGTAAAGACAGTGAAATCTTTGTGCAGTTTGCCAATCCCTCTCAGCTTCAGTGCAGTGATAATGTAAAAATTGTTTTAGACAAGACTCTTAAAGATTGCACTGAGCTTGTTCTAAAGCAGCTTCAGGAAATGAAACCTACCGTCAGTCTAAAAAAACTTGAAGTACATTCAAATGATTTGGATATGTCTGTAATGAAAGAAATCAGTATAGGTAAATCCACAGGCAGAGGGCAGTACTGATAACTAATGTACTATAGATACGTCATTTATAGTTTTACTTAGGAAGCCATCAAGCATGCTGTAATTGTGAAACTTTTATTTTTTTTTGTTGACATGAATTAACCTGGCCAAAAAGAAAAAAAAAAAAAAACCCATGACATTTGTCATGTAGAACTTTTTTTTTTATCCCTATGGGACTTGAGGAACAGAATTAATACTTCAGTTATTGTAAATATTTGAGTTAAACCTCAAATTTCTATCACCCAATTGCTCTTTTCATGAACTAGATTGAATTGTCTGTGTGATTGATATGTTTCACCACGTCACTGCTCATGTATAACAGTACTCTTTATTTGTAGATACCATTTTTGTATATATTTATTATTGTAAATCATTTGCTGCCACCAGCAGTCTGTAAGTCTAAACTATTAAATGATACATTTATATTTGGAATTTTAATTTTTAACTAAGTGATCAAGTTTTTAAAACTTTTATTGTTTTAAATTAAGAACTTTTTGAACTAAAAATAGAAACTCTGCCATAGTTCATTGATTTTTTTTTTTTAGATGAAACATTTATTTACAAGATGATCTCAAGGTTATGTTTCACAAAGTTAGGCATATTACATCAACACTTTGCTCTGCTTTGTAAATTCACCATCCAGGATTTTTGGATAGTATGTGAAATTAAAAGCAGATTATTTAGTAGTTTCCTATAGCTACACATTTTTCTTTTTTCCATTGCTTCTGATTGGATATAGTTACTATGAGTCCATGAAATATAATGGAAATGTGAATAAAGAATTTACTACATTGAAGATTTTAAACATTGGTATTTAAAAAAATCCTTTGTGAATGTGATAGAATCTAGTAGTGTGGAGCAGTGTAAATATTTGAGGTGGTGATTTGTGAAGTAGCCCAGTATTGCCTTAAATAAAATCACATTTCATTTCTTATTTTATACATGTGATCTTATAAAGGTTTTTTTCCTCCATTTTCTGAGGTTTATAGATTGGTGTATAGCTTTAAACTGTATAAACTTTTGTGGGAAGAATTTTTTAAACATTTTTATAAATCTTAAAATTGGTATCATCAAAGTGAGCCCATCTTGTGTTTATAAAATACAAGAATCCTTAACATTTATAATTACATAGATGAAACACTTTCTATAAGGAAGTTGGATGTTTTGATTTTACTGTTTATAGATGTTAGATTGTACAGATTTGTCTGTATTTTCTCACCATATCTAATGATACTTTTTCATTAGATCAGTCTTCAAGAACAGTATTAGTTCTAATTGATCATTTTGATTATTCACTATATAGTTCTTATAGGTTAGCTTTATTCACCATATTTATACTGTGGATTTATGGCCAGAGGTAGAGGTTATTTTAGGAGAGTCAGTGACCATTTAAAGTCCAACTAAAATCAGTCCTGGAAACAAAAGAAGACATCTTTTGAATATTTACTTTTGTTTTTGTTTGCCATAAATAGAAGCATTGGTGTTTTGCCTTGTGTTATTAAAGCAGTTGCATTCACAATATTATTAGCCTGAGATATTGATGATATTGTGATGATACAAAAACGTGTATACCCCCTGTGCAGCACCGGATTTGCAGGAAAAAATGAAGCACTTACTGAAATTGCTGGTACTCTGAATAAATAAGCATGGTCAAGGAGTGAGCTATTTTCTTTTGGAAAATATTTTTTAAGTTTCATTATTAAAGTATTGTGGTTTTACTTTTAGGACCTTATAGGTTATATTGAGTAGTTGGTTTCCCCTCAAGGTTTATTTTCAATATGCATAAAACTTGACACATTAAGTTCCCTACCCTTTGGTAAGCCCACTGTTATTTATTAAAATAAAAGTTTTTATGGGTGATTAATACGTTTTTTTCTAAACAATAATTTAAATAACTGAATTTTAATATTAAATTTTCATTAACAATTGAATGTGTTCTTACAGTTTTCTTAGAAGTTGACCTAGCTCTCAAAGGTCGGCATGTAGCAGAACTGCTTGATATGGTGCAGTAACAAGTAGATTTATTTCTGATCACTGTACTCACGAGCCACTGTTAAGTGAAAATACAATGTATTGGGGCCTTTTTTTCCTTATTAGCTTAAGAAAACTGACTGACCACTAGACATTTCTGTAAATGTTCTCCTACATTTTAGGGGAAAGAGTTTGCCAACATTGAGTGATTTTTTTTTTTAATATTCTAGGTACTGCGTGCTAAAAGTAATTATGGGAGAGTGGGCTTTTTAGCATGGAACAGAAAAATTATGGTATAAATAAGAATGAATTTATAGAATAGCATGTTGGTAAGATTTGATATGGAATGTAATGCCTAAGTATTAAAAAGAATCATAAAGTATATATTTTTCATGGTATACTTTTCCTCTGTTGTTTTTGAGATACCTTCTTTCTACAACCTAAATTTGCCCAAGGTGTCATCATTAAAAATGGATTTTTCTCTCCCTTAAACACAAAGGATTTTAGTACTACAGTTCCAATCTGTGTTACTCAAAATGCATCACCATCTTAAGTTAAATGTAACAGTTTTAAAAATTTTTGGCAGTGTTAAATTCAGTAAAGTTAAATTATTTTAAAAGTCTAGATATACAGATTTTTAGCCAAAAAAACATGGTTATTGAATGCATTTAAGTTGAACAATTAAATCAGGTACTGATTTAGGAAGATAATTGGCACTACATAGAGGATATACTGATTTGCAGTAGTAGGGAGACTTGAAATGGTTCTGGCAAAAAAATGAGAAGCAGAAGAAAAATCATGTTGAATTGGAAAAGAGACTAATGTTTATGAGAGATGCTAGAATGTAACGCAGTCTAAGACAGCCTTTTTCAAAATGTTTAGGAAGATTTCAGGGGCATGGGAGTGAATTGTGATCAAAGTAGTTTTCTGAACGACACATTGGCAGCCCTCTCTTAAATAATCTAGTGCTGGTGAGTGGCTCAGGTGGTAGAGTACTTGCCTAGCAAGCATGAGGCCCTGAGTTCAAACCCTAGTTCCACAAAAAAATAAAGGAAAGAAACCATCTTAACTGTCAAAGTGGAAATTTTCCAGGCTTAATTGACCATGGAAACATTTGACTATCACCCAATATTCAATTATATTGTACTTTATTATATTTATTATATTATAATAATAATATTAGTCAGTCTCCTTACTTGCTCATCAAAGCCCCTCTCCAGACATTCTTATCCCACTTCCTATTTCCTGCTGTTTTCTATTTCATCAAGTACATACTAAACTGCTTTCCCCCACCATAAAGACCTTACACATACTGTGTTTGGCTGGAATCCCTATTTCTTTCTCAGCTTAAATGTTACCTTATCAGAGAGGCACCCAGAGAATTTTAATAAAATTTCATATGCCCATTCTTTACCAAACATAAAAATTAAAGACTCCCTTGTAATCATTTACTCTTCACCTTCCATCACTACCAGCGCATAGCAAAGGAAATGATACTACTGGTTTTCTCCAGTGACCTCGCTCATTAGAGATGCCCCTTATTTCAGTAATCTCTTCCTCAATAAATGGGAACGCTACACCTTGCCATAATCAAATCCCTTATCATTTTGAATCTTGAATTCAAATTCCCTTTCTCCAATCGCAAAATAATCCACTAAAAAAGACTTGGGCCTCATCCAAGTGTGGGTGGCTCACACCTTAAAATCCTAGCTACTCTGGAGGCAGAGATCAGGAAGATCGCAGTTTGAAGCCGGCCCCAGACAAATAGTTCCCAAGACCCTATCTTGAAAATACCCAGCACAAGAAAGTGCTAGTGGAGAGGCTGAGGTGGTAGAGCACCTGCCTAGCAAGCATGAAGTCCCGAGTTCAAACTCCAGTACCACCAAAAAACACAGCTAACTTGTGCCTCATCACAACTACCACTTGCTGCCTATTTGTCTAACTCCTGTCCTCAGCTTTTTAGAGACTAGATCTCATTGTTCTATATACTCCCTTGCAAAATCCTCATTTTGCCACTTCCCTCTGTCAACATTTCCTGGAGAAATTCTAAAGCTTTCTGTTTATTCTTAAGCAGTTGGTTGGAAGAGAGTTCTTCCAAGAAATAAGTTGATATGGGTTGGCACAGTGGCTCAAGTTGTAAAGCACCTGCCTAGCAGTTGTGAAGCCCTGAGATCTAACCCAAGTACTGCCAAAGGAAGAAAAACGTTGATAATCTCAAAGCACTTTTAAGTGCTTCCTTGTGTTGTTTTAATCACATTTTGTGTAGTGGTCCCTTCTCATCTTTTCACTACCAGTCCATAACCCTGCAGGCTTGTATCTGTACTCTTGTCTACTTCTCAAAAACCAATTCCTCTTCTGAAACACCCTCACTCCCACCCCAGAACTTTCAGTTAACTACTGTCTTTTGTTCAGTGATTTCTTATTAGGTCCTTTTCAATAATTTAGCTCTAATAGCTACTGTTCCTGAAAGGATGAGGAGAGAGACTTTTATTTCACCCACCTATAACCACATTCGTTGGGTTCCAGTCACAGCGAATCTGGTTGTACACTCCCGTTTCCTCACTTGATGTTTACTCCCACTTTATATGTGCCTACAGCCCTCCTAAAATTGATCTTGCCAGGATTGCAAGTCTCTTGTGCTATCATATCTATTAGTTCTTTTTCTGTCCTTAACTCACTTCCTCAGGAGCACTCAGTGGTGTTGATGACTCTCCTTGAAGTATTATCTTTGTATGATTTTCTTGACATATTTTCTTGGTTTTCTCTGCTGCCCCATCTTTGACCCAAACCCTAGTTCACCTCCCAGAACCTTACCTCTGGGTCATTGTCTCTATTCTCTGTTTGAGTGATTTAGTCCATTCCGTGGAATTTAGTATTATCAATGTACTTCAGAGACTGTACTTTTTATTGTCCCAGTTGTATATACACCTAACTATATTAGAATTAATTAGGCATGTTACATCCAAACCATTATTTTCTTCCCCACCCTATCTTCCATATATTCCTCTAAGCAATATTCCTTATCTGGAAAAGTGAAGTCTCTGCCTGTCTTTCTCAAACTAGGCTCTTTGATGTGTCATCACAATAACCATGTCCTTTCCCTATTTTAATCACATTTAAGGATGGCCATTTGTATCTCCTAAGTGGAAAGGAACTTTTTTTTTTTTTATTCATACGTGCATACAATGCTTGGGTCATTTCTCCCCCCTCTCCCACCCCCTCCCTTACCACCCATTCCGCCCCCTCCCTTTCCCCCCCACACCCTCGATACCCGGCAGAAACTATTTTGCCCTTATCTCTAATTTTGTTGAAGAGAGAGTATAAGCAATAATAGGAACAAGGGGTTTTGCTAGTTGAGATAAGGATAGCTGTACAGGGAGTTGACTCACATTGATTTCCTGTGCATGTGTGTTACCTTCTAGGTTAATTCTTTTTCATCTAAACTTTTCTCTAGTTCTTGGTCCCCTTCTCCTATTGGCCTCAGTTGCTTTTAAAGTATCTGCTTTAGTTTCTCTGCGTTGAGGGCAACAAATGCTAGCTAATTTTTTAGGTGTCTTACCTATCCTCATATCTCTCTTGTGTGTACTCGCTTTTATCTTGTGATCAAAGTTCAATCCTCTTGTGTTTGCCCTTGATCTAATGTCCGCATATGAGGGAGAACATACGATTTTTGGTCTTTTGGGCCAGGCTAACCTCACTCAGAATGATGTTCTCCAATTCCATCCATTTACCAGCAAATGATAACATTTCATTCTTCTTCATGGCTGCATAAAATTCCATTGTGTATAGATACCACATTTTCTTGATCCATTCTTCAGTAGTGGGGCATCTTGGCTGTTTCCATAATTTGGCTATTGTGAATGGCGCCGCAACAAACATGGGTGTGCAGGTGCCTCTGGAGTAACCTGTGTCACAGTCTTTTGTGTATATCCCCAAAAGTGGTATTGCTGGATCAAATGATAGATCAATGTCTAGCTTTTTAAGTAGCCTCCAAATTTTTTTCCAGAGTGGTTGTACTAGTTTACATTCCCACCAACAGTGTAAGAGGGTTGAAAGGAAACTTTCTGCTTCTCCCTACATCATAACTAATCCAAATCACAACCATCTCTTGCCTTGACTGCTACAACATTCTCCCTATTGGCTTTCTTCCAGAATATGCCCCACTAAAGAGCTAGATTGTTTTTTTAAAAAACAGTTTTGAGAGGGATAAAAATTCATTCATATTGTACTTTGAATAGATTTTTGTGGTGAGGGTTTTGTTGTTTTTCACCATGATTGATACCTTGCTCTCTAAGCACCTCTGGTACTCTCCTTTGCCCATTATATTCAGTCTGGCCATAGTGGCTTGTTTGAAGATCCACAAGCCACACAACCCTTTCATATCTCAAGCCCCCCTTGCACTAATTTTCTACTTGGAGTGCTGTGGGTTTTTTGGGGTTTTTTTACTACGCTACAACTACTTCTTCATGTATTAGATCTCTAGCCCCATGACTGATTTTTTTCTGTTAAAATGCTTGGGGTTTTTTCCTGGCATTTTCTCACAAGTCATA